GTACCCCCAATAATTTTGTTTAGCAATGAATCATCAGGAAAGGACTGTCTGTCTTTTTTTTCTTGGAATGTATGATGATTGTTTGTGACCTCGTGTAGACTGACTTGGAATGGCAATTTAAGCTAAATGTAAATATCTAGCATATTTTTAGTACCACAAGTAGTTCAAGAAAAAGCGCATGATCATGAACAATTTTTGTGTTAGCATGATATGATGTTGTGAGCTTTTCATGATCCAAAGTTCAAAATTCATTGTTCTGTAGATAACTCAGTTATTTTGAGACACTTCTATTTTGTGTGTGCATGTCAAACAAACTAATTTGTCTGTTTGGAGCCAAAAGGGCTCTAACTCATATGCTTTAACACAGAGTAAACACCTTTCTGTCTCTGAACAGATGATTTAAGTCTTGTAGGCCCAAATTCACAAAGGAGGTTCAAATGGTTTAAACCCTCATTTACTTAACCCATGGTTTAAAATTAGGGCAAATTAAGCGTACCTTGCCTTGCATGCGTCTGATATTGGACCTCTGACTGTGTCACGCTTATTTTGCGCTAATTTTGAATAAACCATGGGTTATGTAATTGTAAATGAAGATTTAAACTATGGGTTAAATTTAAACCTCCTTTGTGAATACGGGCCATTGGTTCCATTGTGCCAATAATAAGTGCAATATAATGTTTACCGTAAAATAAGGCGCACTCCTATTTTTCTTTTGTTGTTGTTGTTTTTTTGTTGCCGAAAACCCACGCGGGGAAGGACCTTCATTTAACATCGAGGTGCAGTTAAAAGCGCTGATTTGTGCTTGTAAACTTGTCACAAATAATAGTAACAATGTCGTTTTTAGAAGAATGTGTAAGATCATTAATGTAAATTAAAAACAATAAGAGTACCTAGGTCCTAGGATAGAACCTTGTGGTACACCATTTGTTATATAAAAAAATTGAGGAATTATTATTATAAACTTCATATTGAGATCTATTAGAAAGATTACTTTCAAACCAAGATGACAGACAAATTTTAGTGTTGTTGTAGTTTTCGAGTGGTGAGTCAACACACTGATTACTGAGCTGGGAGACATTGCCAGGAATAACGCCATAAATCAAAATTAAAATTAATTTAAAAAAAAATAAAACAAAATTTCTGTACCTGTGTATAAGGCGCACCCCCGACTTTCAATTTTTTTCGGCGGCAAAAAAGTGCACCTTATACACAAACATTTACGGTAAATATTGAGGGAAAGGGAGCTTTGATGAATGATGTAGATCAAACGAGATGGATTAAAGTATGAGACCATCCCAGAATAGAAAAGAAAAGATCAAACAGAAAATTAAAGGAAGCCTCACCCCACAAATAAGTTAAGTTATTCTGAGAAATCTATAGTATTCTTGCCCATCAATCTACAAGATTCCCCACCAAAGTGTATGAAGCAAGATATTCTTAGCATAATGAACAGTTTCTCAGCACGACATGGGCATCACCATTTTCTTGGTAACTGACGAACTATGCGAAGTCGTTTATGGATACTTTCTTCTCACTGTGTCTGGTTAATAAGAATTTCTTTCACCTGCTGTTATCTTTTGTACTACAATTGGCGGTCAAAAATTACATACATGTAAATAAGCTGTTGCTTTTCTGGAGTAAATGTTACGCATTCATGAATGAAGATTTGTCAATCGCTATCTTTATTATTGTGAGAAATATATATCTCTTGCACATTTTTTGTAAGGAACATTGTACATATTTCAGCATACCTATATTCATTCTTATGAGGTTTCCTGTAAGTGTTTTCGTAGGATACAGAATTTGGGGCTGTACGGAAGTACGGTACCTGTACATGAAAGTTTGAGATTTGTGTTTTATTAGTAATAAAGGGATTTATTTTATGTCATGACAATTTTTTTGAGGTTTTTTTTTTTATAGTTCCAAGCCAAGGTCTTAATTAAACGAGGCTTTTGTTATATTGTTGAAGACGTCATAGTGTTACATAGGGGAAATCCCCATCATACAATGTACACGTTGACTTCAGTAATCCACATTGAGTTGATAATAGATAGACTAAAGTATAAATACCCTTTGGGTAAAAATGCCCATTGATTCTTTTCTCTGTGTTGCCATTGAATTATAGATACCGAGATAAAACGGAATCCATTGCTAAGGAGTACAATTCACTGAGACTCAAGAATTGTTAGCAAACAAGGAATAGATTCACTATTTAGAATTAAGAACCCTTAGTTCTTAATAGTGAATCTATTCCTTTTGTTATATTGTTGGTAACTTATGATGGGGGTTTCCCCTTTCATGGTGGTAAATGCTTGTTTATAAAAGTCAGAGCTGTGGCCCTCTTTTACTATTAGCTTTATTTATGTGAGCTACGTGTATGAAGAAATGAATTGTTTAGTTAACCCATTGGCTACTGAGTTATCTCATTCCCATGGAGTTAATAAGTTACTTGGTTTTTGATACTCTAAAGGCAATGGGTTATTACAGTGTGTAGCTTGTTCAGACTTAAGGAAACTTGTATAAAGAAACGTCATGTATAGGATCATCATACGAAAGGAATGTACAGACTAGCTAACAACATCATAATGAAACGTTGTTTAAAAGGAACCAAATGTAGTTTTGAAGAGGTCAGTTGACATGACAGTTAGCCAATCATCAGTGCACGCTTATGATAAGCCCCGCCCAGTTGTACAATTTTCGTACAATACAAAGTTCAGACAAGAACGGTCCCCTGATTTCTCGATTGGGTTTCATTCATAATAATGCTTAAACGGGCATTTTGCTAAACGTTTCGTCATACAGTAATAATAATAATAATAATCTTTTAGTCCACTCCAAATTTTATTAAACCGAAAATGGAAATTCTTTTTACCTATTGATCGTGAGCCCGGCAGCCACTGAGCAGCGCCAGATCGACGTTGCTCTATACCCTTATTGTTGAATGCCAAACAAGGTAGCAGCAACTCCCGTCTTTTAACGTATTTTGGTATGACGCGGCCGGGGTTCAAACCCACGACCTCCCAGTTGTGAGGCGGACGCTCTACTGACTGAGCCAACACACTGTTTAGACTAGGAGAAATGAATTAATTATTGTATCAGTGATAGGTATATGATTCTTGTACAGTTAAAGGATGAATTCTGGTACATGGTTGATTGGACACAGGGTAAATGAACAAGAAAAAGAGAAATCTAATGTCCTTGGTCCCACTTGTCCATTGTCAGTGATTAGTTTAGATTTAATGATTATCGATTCAAATAGAAATGTCACGTATTCTGATTTTGTATGAAAACATCTGTACCATGCCTCATGGCTTTCAATTCCCCTTATTTTTTTCAAAATAATTGCAAAAAAAAGAAGAGGAAAGGATTGGCATATTTTTTTACCAGGCACAGGTCTTTTTTTAACACTGAATGTTTGCATACCGGTATCTACAGCTCTATGGAATTACAACTTGACAAGGAAATTGAATATTGCCAAAATGATGAGGTGTTTTTGAGGGGGTTTTGACAAAAGCCAACTTGCCAAATATACCAGTGTAATGACATCAACATGTCTTTTTTCCTGTAGGCAATCCAGGGTCCTGTCTTGAGTTGCAATTGATAGAACTTTTTATGTTACAGGGCCAGGCCTGGCCTGACTCTGTGACGTAAAAAGCTATTTTATTAATTGCATCCCCCCAGTTAATCATATCTCCTTCAAATTAATTGTATCTCCTTCAAATTAATCGTATCTCCTTCAAATTAATCGTATCTCCTTCAAGTTACTATTAATTTTTAATTATTTATTATTATTTAGATACAAAACATGGTAAGATACAATTAATTGCAACAAGATTACAGTATCGATTTTTACTATTGATTGTAAGTCAAGTTTTTATGATACAGGGCTCAGGATTAATTGCAAGTCCTTCTGTCAATTGCAAACTTAGCGATGCCCAGCTCCTATATATGTAGTACATTGTTGCAATTGATTTCAAGTTATAATTGATTAGAATCAGTTGCAACTGTTTTTAAGATGGCCCGGCTCAAGTGTGTAGTTATGTTCAAATCACAAAACAGTAAGACAAAAGTACAAAAGTACAAAACAAGTAATTATGTAATAGTTTGTTTGTTTGTTTGTTTTATTTATTCACCATGTAAAATAACTGTTTACAGATAATATAATACAGTGGGTTACATTGATATATAATACATAGTACATTGTAGGAATAATGCATAAACAAAAAATGTTTGAAGCGCAACGTCCCTAAGTAACATAGTTGATAATTATTAGGTAAAAATAGAACATGGCTTAAAATACGACATTCATTACAAAAATAAAACAAAATACAAAAATCATGCCCTTTAACGTATTTGAATAACAAGCAAAAACAAAGAAATACACATTACCTCTTCTTGACATAACTAGTACTATACAAAATGTACCTCAAAAGTTAACAATTATATTTTAAGAGAAATAATTCCTTCATTTTCTATTTAAATAACATAATGATTTTACAAGCTCGTATTAGTAGTCAGTGGCTTGAACATTTGATTGGAGGTGCCAAACCAAAGTAACAGGTTCAAGTCCTAGCACAGCATTATAAATATTATTATTGCTTATTGTTGCATCGCTACTCTCAGTTGTCTTTGTAGTTATATATGGTACATGTCCGTAATATGGCAATAGACTAGAATTCTTTCCTGTGCAGAGAATAGAGAGTTTGCACTGAGCATGTGAGTATGGAAACTCATAGGATAGTGAAAGGGCTACAGGGTGTAATGCTAAAGTGCAGGTTTTATTTCATGTGCATAAATTATTATCATTTATGTTAAATCTACCCGGTAAAAAGAAATTCCTTGACTGGTTGAGCACCTTTTTACAGTGACTCAGCTAAAGCCGGGTGCAGGACCTTCAGGGAGAATAGTATTTATACGATGAGGCTGCCCTGGGTAAAGATGACATATTATTATATTTTATTATCATTTCTTGAATTTCTCTTTCATTTTTATTATTACAGTCAACATCAGAGAAATCAAAGAGATCAGACCAGGCAAGAATTCTAAAGATTTTGAGAAGTGGCCTGAGGAACATCGCAGACATCCCAACAACATTTGCTTCGTGGTCTTCTATGGCACCGAGTTCAGGCTAAAGACACTTTCTGTAGCTGGTAAGTTTATCACATACAGTGAAATGATGGGGTGAATAGGAACATGCAGGGTGTTGAATAGGATTTGAAAATTATATCCTTGCAGAATCGTTAAATCTGTGTATTGCTGTGACTACAAAAATAAAGAGGTTCTGCATCATTGTTGGGAAGAGAAATTTAATAAAAGGAAGCCTTTTTTCAATGTTGTTACTATTCACCCTGATCCTAGTCTACTGTGTGACAGGAGAACTACTTTAAAAGTAGTCATTTTGTCCCATATTGTATTACATGTAATTTGCATTCATCTAGACTGTAAACAAACAAATAATAATAATAATACTTTGCATATTTCAAGGTGTATTACCGTAAAAGGGAAAGCCACCCTGATATTACATTGCTTTAACAGAAGCAGTGTAAATGAGAGGGACAAGTCAGTGAAAGTTTGAGCAACTTCCGCTTGAAATTAAGAAAGTTATTAAGTTCTGAAGTTGTGATTAATCAATCACAAATTAAAACCAACTTAATACCTTTAAGCATGACCGGAAAGGAGCAACCAACCAGCCTACAGGTACAGCTTTGCAAATATTGATGCTATAAGGGGAAAGACAGCCTTAACAGTAGTCATAAAATCAAAGTTTGCTAGATAGAGAATTATTGTGAACAAATGGGATTATTTTTGGCTACCTTTCCGACAGTTTATACATCTAAATCCCAGATGACAATTGTGACCTGTTGCATTATCCAAATAACCTCGACTGTATAATTCACAGTAAGAAAAAAAAGGTCAAATACATAATTGCTAGTAGTTCTGCAAGTTTCTTCTATTAAGAGCTTCGGAAAACCAACAAAGCTTTTGAAAAATGAAAAAGTATACATATTGCCCTATCACCTTTTCTATAAAGGAACCTCAAAAGTGGTTTTGAAGAAGAAAAAATGGATTTTGGGATTACTAAATATTTTTATGCTCGATTTTTTTTTCATTGCTGTTTGAAAATATCTTTATTACAGACAGATCTCACAGAATAAAATCTTTCACAAGGGCACAATTTACTTTCAAGAGGGCCAAATTATAACAGAGTTTATTGGACTCTTCCCTATCAAATGATGTTGCAAATTGAATTAAAAAAGAAAGAAAAATGTCTACATCTGTATGCATACTTTTTAAAGGACAGTCTGCTCTTTGGTATTCTCAATTTATAGTGAGAAAAATGAAATCATTTGGCACGTAGACAAGGGCTCTATATTAACAGGTGCCTCGGACAGATGGGCACCCAAAATCAAAGTCTGGAACCTTCATTTTTTTATTTTGATTTCTTTTAATTAAAAAAAAAAAATTATAACAAAATATTAAAAGATTGTTTTTATTTTTATTTTTTACATCAGGCTCCTTCATAAAGACTGTATAAAGTTCCCCTCCAGAAAAGTTAGTGGTGTAGAGCCCTGCATATATATATATATATATATGGAGTAGTCACAAACAGTTGTCATTTGCCGTACCTGTATTTGCCCTTCCTGAATAGGAAGGATAGATAAAAGACCCTATGACCCAATGCATTTTACAAGAAAGAACAGCTTCAATGATGTTTCGAATGTGTCCTGATTCCTTACAAAGGTTAAGCCTAAAGTCCTCATGTGACGGGGGGGGGGGGGGGGGGGGGGGGGCTCGCTCCGGCTCCTAGAGGGAAATATCAATCGCTTTGATAATAGAAGGGAAATAATTTGTGTTATCAATAGCCACATTTACAATGAAAAATACAGAAAAGATTGCTTTCATGCAGTCAGGCATCAGTGGGCACTTATTTCTTTGCTTAAAGCATCATTTCATGCAAGTCATCATGGCAGAAAATAGAAAGATGGAGGCCACTGACATTCTCTAGTCAGTATTGTATGGCTTTCATCAAGTGGGAAAACCACCAAACACCATCAGACTTTTAATCCACGGCCCAACATTTTTTTTGGCTGAATTGTTATTTTTCATCATGTCAATGACATTCTTTGGTTTTGTTGGAGGTTACAGTAGGCATGTCTTCACTATCTCGAGATTGCCAAATTTTCAGCTATTTGAACTATCCCGATCGCAAACTATCAAGCTATTTTGCGTCTTCATTAGACCGAAGTAGCAAATTAGCTCGGTCTAGTTTGCAAAATATCCCACTATTTCCCAACTAGCGGGATAGTTTGCGAACGTCTTCATTAGACCGAAGTACGGAGTCAAATATCCCGATCCCATCATGCACAACAACTTCTGGTTTTCTGTGTTTACTAGTTGTACTAGTGCACGCACATGCGATCTATATCGCTCAGCGCGCTAGTACAACTAGTAAACACGGAAAACCGGAAATCGTTGTGCATGATGGGATCGGGATATTTGTCTCCGTACTTCGGTCTAATGCAGACGGTCGCAAACTATCTCGCTAGTTGGTAAATAGTGGGATATTTTGCAAACTAGACCGAGATATCTTAGGATATTATCCCGACCAACTATCCAGCTAAATTGCTACTTCGGTCTAATGAAGACGCAAATTAGCTGGATAGTTTGCGATCTGGATAGTTCAAATAGCTGGATATTTGGCAATCTCGAGATAGTGAAGATGGGCCTAGTGGATGTCTGTTTATCACACTGAATTTTGAAGGAAGTCTTTATAATAAAATGTATGATTTCTTTTTACATAATGTTAAAATGAACATGAAATGAGATCTGGCAAGGGAATTTGATAGAAAGTATACATTACAGTGTATTATTATACCGGTATGTATAGATAATAATGTGACAAAGCTAACCACTTTGTATAGTAGAATATGTAAAACTTCATGGGCATCTTTGTGATTTTCAAGTAAATTTTCACCATGTTTCTTAGTTTTATTGGCATTTTACTGGTAAATATAAGTAAATACTTACTTTAAAAATAACATTTTCAGAATGACTTTGAAGCAATTTCTATCAACATTTAATTTCCTAGTTAACAATAATACCTCATGTGGGAGATGAAATAGTAGTAGAAAGCAAAGTAGCTCAGGGAAATTGACAAATGTGCCTTTTTTAAAGCAAACGAAAAAGAGAGCAATTTAAAAAAAAAGGGAATCCTGAAGAGGAAGGAAATATCAATTTTAGAGGGCATATTATCAGAAATTGTTACAGCAATATTTTTTACACCATTACCTTTAATTCTGGGCATGTGTTTTTAGTGGCTTGATTCCATATTCATGTGATTGGCATCGATTGGATTTGGTAAGAGAGCTTTGACTGTTTACCCAATATTTTGATGATCGGCTAGCTAGATTAATATCCTGCCAAATGACAGTCGGAGTGAAGCACCATGTCAAAATTGGTTACCCATTAACCAAGATTTGTTATTTTATTTGTCTGACCCTGACTGAAATGGGTAGGAAAAATATGAAGTTTGCTTGATGTAGGTGATCTAATGGTGTAGAAAAAAACAGAGAGAGAGAGAGAGAGAGAGAGAGATGGGGGAAAGGGGGGGGGGGTGGTAGTGCATTGGTAGAGGAAGTTGATGAGAGAAAGAGTGTTAGGAAGAGAGAGAAGGAAAGAGTGAAGAAAGGGGAAGAAGGATAACGAGAAGAAAGATGGGAGAGAGAAGGAAAGAGCAGGGGAGATCAATAGAAGATAGAGGGAGAGAAGGGGAAGGAAAAGAGATGGAGAGATGGTGTAGGTTGGAAATAGCGACTGAGTTACAATTTAGTCAAGAAAATGTTCCCTATAACAATATTCTACAGATCTTTTTTTTTATAGTATAAGTACAAGTTTTTACCACTGAAAATAAATTGTACTTTTCCTTTATTAACTTTACCAGTAATTGTTCTAATTTCAGTTCATTTATATAAAATCACTATCTATCCAGTCGTGTATGTCAACAAAGAATGATCTTGTTGAAACTGTTGCCGGCTGATAATGAATCTTGTGAGCTATAATGAAACATCAGATTTTTTTGTGATAAGCTTGTCAAATTTGGCATTTAGGTCAAAATTGAAATACAAGTCTCACTATAAGATGATTGTTGTGTCATTTTCTAGATTATTGACTGAATTAAAATTTGAATACAACATTTATTTATATGAGAATCCTGTCATATTTGTTAACAAATCTTTGGAGACATTAGTGATCATTTGCCCATATTTAGCGTTATTTCACCAAGTTGTATATTTTCCAACTCTGACAATGTAAACAGTTTTAAACGTGTAGTCAATGATTATAATATTGCAATATTTTGTAGACATTTAAGGGATTTTGACTGGAATCTTCGTGTGACAAATGTAAATGACATGTTTAAAGACTTTGTGGATATTTTTCTAGATATATACGACAAGTGTTTCCCTCTCAAAAAATCAAAAAATATGAACAATCGGAAGAACAAGGCTTGGTTCACAAAAGAACTAAAAAAAATGTGTAAAAAAAGACAAACTTTATACAAAAAATTTATATCACGCCGAACAGTAATTGATGAAAGAATTTACAAGTCATTCCGTAACAAATGCACAAAGGCAATACAAAAAACAAAACAACGATATTTTGAATCCAAATTTTGTACCGTTACAGGGAATTCCAAGGCTACTTGGAAAGAAATTAATACGGTTTTAAATAGAACTAAAATTAAAAAAAATATCCCTTCCAAAATTGTAAATGACAATAATGACATATCTCACCCAAGGGAAATGGCTAACGAATTTAATAAATATTTCATTTCAATAGGCCCCAATTTACAAAAGAAACTGGATGATCCCCATGATACATGTAATAAACATTTCTCCAAATATCTTTCAAATCCTTGTTCTTCTTCAATATTTTTTCAACCGATTGTTGAAAGTGAAATTATATCCATTGTTGACAAATTTAAAAATGATACTTCTTCTGGTTTCGACCACATAGATGTAAAAGTAGTTAAGAAAGTAATACCGTTTATTTGTAAACCATTGAGTCAAATTTTTAACATGTCAATGTCGACAGGTCTTGTTCCAGATAATCTCAAAGTAGCTAAAGTTATACCAGTTTTTAAATCGGGGTC